CAGGATACTAAGGCCTGCTCATGGTTCCACAGGATTTGTCATGCTGTGAGTAGCCTGAGCCCATTTAGTCCATTTTAGCCAGAGTCCAGTATAACTGAGGGTAACAGTATGTATATTCAGCCTGAAAGGAAATCGGGGTTGGTTTGGGAGAGGGAAACTGCAGCTCTCGAGGAGGAGGAGAAAATAGACAGCCTATATTAGCATTTGTCATTGAAGGGAAGCAATATACTCGCCTATATAGGCATGAAGAATATAGTGTACATTTGAGCCTTAGAAAATGTATTTAGTGGTCATGAGGTGAAATTGAAAATCAAAGTACTGTGTAAATAGATACAAAATCCTTAAGTTTGGAAAAACATATGAAATTAGCCTAATCTTTATATAACTATTTTTCCCCTTAAATCTTCATTGAGAGAGGCAGAAAGATTGTTAGCTATCTTGAGCATCTCCAAACAGATAGGTTATTTTGTTAATGCAGCTAGAAAGGAGAGAAGGAATCATAAAAATATCTGCTCAAAATCAAAAGTGGTCTTTTTATCAGCTTAAGCCTCCTGCCTGGAATGGTGACAACATCAACTGTGGGTTAGGTTTGACTGAAAAAGGAAAAGTTGTGCTTGGATACTGGGAAGAACCCATGCCAAAAATGAATAAACATACTAATAAGTAAATAAATAAGTAAATAAATAACCCCCTCTCTTTCTGCTCCCTTCCCCAACACAACACTGATGGCCTGGCTAGGGAGACCCTTTATTTTTAAAGTAGTGTTGTTAAGGTGTGTAAAATACATGAAGAGATTTGTTTTAGGCAAATGCTGTTAAGTGTGTCAACTGCAGTTTATACCTTTGCCGCTATTTGGAAGTTGCATTCTTTTATGATGTATGCAGTAGCATGACCTGAAATCTAATGGTTCTATACCATGTCAGTGAAGACTAAATCAATTGGGTTTTTTTAAGCACATTGGAGACCACGTTTGACACCAATGTCACTACTGAAATAAGCGGTCGCAGTATTCTCAGCTTGACTGGAAGACCAACACCTTTATCGTGGAGACTTGGGCAGTCCAGCCCCCGCCTTCAGGCAGGTGATGCTCCATCAATGGGAAATGGGTATCCTCCAAGAGCCAATGCCAGCCGCTTCATCAACGCTGAGTCTGGGCGTTATATGTATTCAGCGCCTTTGAGGAGACAGCTAGCATCCCGTGGTAGTAACGTTTGTCACATGGACATCTCAGAGAAGGGCGGTGATGAAATAGATCTTGAAAGCATCAGCATGGATGCCACAGGCTATATGAGTGATGGCGATGTTCTGGGCAAGAATATAAGGACTGATGACATTACGAGTGGGTAAGTAAAAGTAATTTGGCTCTTCGTGCATAATGGAACTGTGCATTTTTCAGTCTTATACTGTTGCTTTAAATTGATCCATTTAAATGGCTACTTAAAGGTAGCAAAGGGATTGTGCCCATTTTTAATGGGAATATGGAGAGCAAGCTCTCAGCCATACTTGAATGAGTGGTGGCTAGAGTCTTACTCATGCTATCACTATCTTCCTTTCACACTTAAATCAGAAGTTTCTGTGATTAGTTCTGAATCTCTTGAATCTGCCAGCCTGACCTAGAACTCTTATAGGAAGAGCCTTTCCCACGGAATCTTGGCACCTAAGGTCTGGACAGAATCTCAAATTGTTAGACGTGTTTGAAAATGGTGGGGGGTAAAATCCCAACTTTTTTCAAACTTCGACAAAATTTCCGTTTGAGTTGTAATCAAAATGTCAGGTGAGGAAAAAGAAAGGATTTGTATTTTAAGTGAATTAGTCACATATTTCTAGTAAATGTCGCAAAGTGTGTATGTAGCACAGGTTCTTCTCTCTGGCGCCATTTTCAGGAAAGCATTCGTATACAGCAAATCATTTAATCGTGTGCTTAATTCTTCTTGAAGTCAGTGGGATTTTGGCACATGATTAAAGTTAAGCAGGTTTTAGTGTGTTCCTGAAAAAGAACATACTCATGGGCTGCTTAAATGCTTTCCTGAATTAGGGTCAATGGTTGTCAGATGTTTGCTGCAGTATTCAGTGTCCCCACAAGATGGTGAAATTGTGGCATTTTTTACATTGCAACTGAAAGTATTTGCTGTCTGTGGATCCCAGTGATTTCTCTGAACTTGCAGTAGAACATCCATGTGTTTTCAGATCACCAAAGGGATGTGTTTTTTATATTTCAGTGGATGGGGAAAAAATTAGTATGCAAGATGCAACTTAAGGAACAAGTTGTTGATGAAAATGCAGAAATTCTAAATGATGGACAATTTTTAAACTTTGCAAGATTTTATGTCAATATTTTAGCATTTCTTTGGCTGGGAAACTCATTTTTATGTAAATACATCAGCATTTGATTTATGTTATAAAACTCATGATCATTGATGTGAACATGATAATTTTTCTATACCTAGTCTTTTCCTTTTTTGGCAACATTACATCCTTTTTTAAAATCTTTAACAGTTTAGTATTGTTTATAGTAGCAATGGCTTTGTCACAAGATTTGGAGCCTCTTACTGAAACAGAAAGCTAGAATCCAGCTGTTTGTTTGCCAATATGCAACCATTATTATGAAACAAGATTCAGCAAATTTAACCACAGAGGACCCTGGAAACCTCCAATTCACTCTGTTCTATCAGAGAGTTTGGAAGTTTTACTTACATTTTCTTTTTTCCTTTAGGGATCATATACTAAAGAATCCAATGGGAAAGCTATTTGGAGAAGTAGTAAATTCTCTATTTTATGTAAGGAACTTTTAGTTGCTAGTATACAAAGACCCTAAAATCACCCATGTTTACACAAAATAAAGCAGCTTATACCTTTGTTTTGCAGTGTTTATTGTGCTAAAAGTTATCACTCTTTCCTCAAGACAAACAACCTTCACCCCAAACTGGATTTGTAAAATTGACGAGAAGAGGAAGAAAATGATTTTGACTATTGCTGGGGTCATTATAAAAGACCCTAGTGCAAGATCTGTGTGGGTTCTAGACAGTGAATGTAATTTGAAGGGAAGGGCTGGTTTTAGCTATATAACTGAGAGAAGTTTATTCTCATATGGTAAAATACCCCTGTGTAGCGGGAAGACCGACGTCGCCGCCTTAGTCCTACTTGGGCCCTATTTTGAGAATTTAATTGGTGCATGGGTCTAGTGCTGGCCCTCTGAACATCTCATCTGTAGCAAGTCATGGATTATGATAGGAGTGGACAGTAACAAGTTTAAGGCAAAAACATCTATTCTCTCAGGTTATGCCTGCTGAACAGTAGGGTAGGCCTGTCCAGTGAAAAAGAATGACCTTGGTAGAACTGTGGTTTTCTCTGTCTTTACACCTTTTTCACAATATAAATGAGCCTGTCTGCAGAGAGCTGTCATGGTTTTCTCTGTCTTTACACCTTTTTCACAATACAAATGAGCCTGTCTGCAGGGAGCTGGCATGTGTTCTGGACCATGAGTATAAGGCTACTGTGTGTGGCTCCATCTAATGTTTTGCTCAGGAAGTTCATTTCTTTTATCTGAACTAAAAATTGTCCTCAGCAGAATCATAAGCTGATATTTCCAGCTTCAATACCTCACATTCTAAAAGTTCATCTTACAAACAAGGATGTATTTATGAAAGGGAAAAAAAAAGGGGGGGGGGGTTGTTTACGGTCCTGGATGTACATTTCCAGAGACACTAGTGACTGTAGAGATCTCCACATATCATTTGTTACTTTGTACTAACTGGTCACCCTGCACTATATAGTAGTGAACCTGCTGAAATTCAAAAATATAACACTAGCCTTTAAAATATTGAATAACAATCTAGAATGGAGCTCACAATGCAATACACATAAAATAATACAATAGATTAAAATTTACCAAGCATTTCTCTCATTTCAGGTATCTCAATATAATAAGTACCAGTGGTAGCATGGCTGCATAGGCCAGTAGAGCAGCCATTAAGTACTCAGTAAGAGCTCACCTGTTGTATGGATATTAGGGAGACAGACTGTGAGACAGGACTCTTATCTGCTACAATTTTTCAAAAGGACTGTGGGATCATTGCCTTTCACTCGGACAGCCAACCAAAGACTGGTAGAAAGGACCTCAGTTTCAAGCATAGGATCAGAAGCATGGCTGTATATAAATGGCATTTTCCTTTCTAACGTATATGTGTCCTTAATGTAGTGAATCATGTATGCTGCCCTTGCTGACCAAAATATGTTTTTATTTATGTGAGCACTGCAGAGCCAAAATAGGTATGGGAGAGTGAACTGGACTCTTTTCTGGGCCACGTATCATTATTTTAATGGTGAACTAAGTTCCAATGGCAGAATCTTTATTATTGGTGATGTCAGAGCCAGAAAGACCAGGTTCACTTTGAGATAATTTATCAAGTTTGAGGTTTGAGCAGTTGGGGGAAAAAACCCTACCATATTTACTTATAAATGTGTGCACATTTGAAGTTTGAGCAGTCAGAGAGACAATGCAGTACCACAGAATGCTGACTTTGGAGACACTCTTTAGAATATAATCGCATGGGAAGGTTTCATTAGAAGGGAGGCAATCCTCCAATACTGCATTGAAATTACAGCATTGGATATGATCCCAGGACCAACTGGGGGACTTGAACCTTCTGTCTTTGAGGCGAGGGTGTTACCCTCAGTGAACCCTACTGACACCTAATAATGCTGGATTGCTGTCTTCGGTAAGAAAAGATTGTTTTGTAACCTCAGTGTCATGAGTCATCTTCCCTGATGTGAGTTATTCACAACAACAGAAAATGGGATAGCAGTGTATCTCAGTGGGACAAGGGTAATATAGGATTTAGAAGTGAGAGAGCTTGCTTGTAAAGACAGCATTGATGTGGTTTGCTGCACAATGGTTCTTTAAGATAAACTGGAGGACAAATAAGCCCAATATTTTCCTAAGTTATGCTACAGAATGTGGAAAACAGCACAAAAAGGCATTTATAGCATGAATAGCCCTTTATTAGTTGGTATACATTTCACTTTGTCATTTTCAAAATTGCTGCAATGCTGTAGTTTGAAAAACCTTGGATCTGTGTTTTTATTGGCAAACTGATAGGAAAGGAAGCCAAAATATTTGTTACAGCCAAAATAAATCATTTTAGCCCTTGGTTCCTGAGGCTTTCTTTTAAATGCACCAGGTCATGGGAAGTTCCATTTTTCCTGCCTTCCAGTTCTGGTCAAGAAGGGTTCTGGCAGAAATTAGTATTGATTTCATAAGGTTAGAAAGAGTGCCATTCCTTATGGCCTGATCCAGCAGAAAAATATCTGTGGTCTCCCAAACCTTTGCTAACCTAGGAAGACCACAGGTGCTGGATCTGCAGCAGGCTGACCCATCCAGGTGAGAAATTGACTTCTCCTGGAAACCAAAAAGTTGACAAAACAAAGCAGCAGTGGAGAACTTGAATTTTCCTGAAGCGGGGAGCAAACAAGATTCTGTATCACACTCCTCGGTTATTAACTCCTATTGGCTGTGTAGCTCCAGGCTTTTTTACAGGCCTTGATGTGAAATAATTTGTTCCCCCTCAGTGGGCTTGGAATCATGTAACCTATCTACTTCAAAACCAAAGCAGTAATTTTAGGGAGACTTTTAACTTCTCCCAGAGCTGAAGAGTGCTATTAACTGGAAAGGGCTTGTGACCTGATGTGAGGATCCACAAGTCTTGAACCCAGATCTGCGAGCAGCATTGGCATCCCAGCCACCATCTGGCAGTTTGCTAGTGACTGGTGAGTGATGTGGCACTGCCCAGGAAAGTCCTGATTGTACAAGCACCCAGTCCCACCAATTGGTCCGGCTGCACTATTTAAGCCAGAAGGAGACACCGGAAGTTGTCTGTGCATCTGAGTGAATTCTGTCTGGCTGATACATAGGCCCCTGCCTTCTTGCCTGACTCCTGAGCTCTGCTTTCTTGACTTGTCCCTGATTCCTACTTCCCTGCCTGTTGCTGGTTCTTGCCTTCTCATCTTGTTCCTCATCCCTGCCCTGGTCTCTGGCTCTGACCCTTGGCTCGACTCCTGATTCTCACTCCAGCCCTGATCCTTGACTTAACTTCTGGCTCTGAGCTTTGGCATGACTCTGACTCCTGCTCTAGCCGTCTGAGTCCTGGTTGTGACATCCCCATCCTCCCCTTGATTTTGGTTTAATTGTCAAGAAAGGGCAATTTACCCCAATCTCCCTTTTGCTAGGATGTTCATTTTCCTTCCATTTATGTATGTATGAATTTATTTGTGTGTTTGTACACATGCGCACACGTATTGGGGGGTGATCCCTCTTTGTTTATTTGAGGCTTTGTGGTCTCTAATAATCTTCCTACAAGGATTGTAAAGTGAGGATGTAGAGCTGAAGTGGAGGGAGATTCAAAGGGAGAGCAGGTAGGAGCAGTTTGGGAATTCAGGCTTTCTCGTGGCCTGCTGTCACCAGAATTAAACAGGGCCACAGATGCGGAATTGGGAATGACATTTTAGCTGGCAGATTGTCTATCTTGTGCCGGGTCCTTGGAAGAGATGTATCCACATAAACTACATAGGCCAAAGCAATCACTGAAGCAGAGTTTTATCAAAGCTGAATTTTAATACCCTGTGCCTATAGTACAGCAGATAAGAGTGCCTTACTAGAGAAGTGAGTGAGAGGATGGATTTGCTTATGTGTTGCCTAACAAGAACAAGATTTTTATAAAAAGAAAAGGAGGACTTGTGGCACCTTAGAGACTAACAAATTTATTTGAGCATAAGCTTTCGTGAGCTACAGCCCACTTCATCGGATGCATTCAATGGAAAATACAGTGGGGAGATTTATATACACAGAGAACATGAAACAATGGGTGTTACCATACACACTGTAATGAGAGTGATCACTTAAGGTGAGCTATTACCAGCAGGAGAGCGGGGCGGGCGGGGGGGAGATTTTGTAGTGATAATCAAGATGGGCCATTTCCAGCAGTTGACAAGAACGTCTGAGGAACAGCGGGGGTGGGGGAAGATAAACATGGGGTAATAGTTTTACTTTGTGTAATGACACATCCACTCCCAGTCTTTATTCAAGCCTAAGTTAATTGTATCCAGTTTGCAAATTAATTCCAATTCAGCAGTCTCTCCTTGGAGTCTGTTTTGGAAAGTTTTTTGTTGAAGAATTGCCACTTTTAGGTCTGTAATCGAGTGACCAAAGAGATTGAAGTGTTCTCTGAATGGTTTTTGAATGTTATAATTCTAGATGTCTGATTTGTGTCCATTTATTCTTTTACGTAGATACTGTCCAGTTTGACCAATGTACATGACGGAGGGGCATTGCTGGCACATGATGGCATATATCACATTGGTAGATGTGCAGGTGAATGAGCCTCTGATGTGATTAGGCCCTATGATGGTGTCTCCTGAATAGATATGTGGACACAGTTGGCAACGGGCTTTGTTGCAAGGATAGGTTCCTGGGTTAGTGGTTCTGTTGTGTGGTATGTGGTTGCTGGTGAGTATTTGCTTCAGTTTGGGGAGCTGTCTGTAAGCAAGGACTGGCCTGTGTCCCAAGATCTGTGAGAGTGATGGGTCGTCCTTCAGGATAGGTTGTAGATCCTTGATGATGCGTTGGAGAGGTTTTAGTTGGGGGCTGAAGGTGGTGGCTAGTGGTGTTCTGTTATTTTCTTTTTTGGGCCTGTCCTGTAGTAGGTAGCTTCTGGGTACTCTTCTGGCTCTGTCAGTCTGTTTCTTCACTTCAGCAGGTGGGTATTGTAGTTGTAAGAATGCTTGATAGAGATCTTGTAGGTGTTTATCTCTGTCTGAGGGGTTGGAGCAAATGTGGTTGTATCGTAGAGCTTGGCTGTAGACAATGGATCGTGTGGTGTGGTCTGGATGAAAGCTGGAGGCTAGTCGGTAAGTATAGCGGTCAGTAGGTTTCCGGCATAGGGTGGTGTTTATGTGACCATCGCTTATTAGCACCATAGTGTCCAGGAAATGGATCTCTTGCGTGGACTGGTCCAGGCTGAGGTTGATGGTGGGATGGAAATTGTTGAAATCATGGTGGAATTCCTCAAGGGCTTCTTTTCCATGGGTCCAGATGATGAAGATGTCATCAATGTAGCGCAAGTAGAGTAGGGGCATTAGGGGATGAGAGCTGAGGAAGCGTTGTTCTAAGTCAGCCATAAAAATGTTGGCATATTTTGGGGCCATGCGGGTACCCATGGCAGTGCCACTGATTTGAAGGTATACATTGTCCCCAAATGTGAAATAGTTATGGGTGAGGACAAAGTCACAAAGTGATGGCTTGTAGTCCATCTTTGTGTGGAATGTTGGTGTAGAAGGCTTCTACATCCATAGTGGCCAGGATGGTGTTTTCAGGAAGATCACCGATGGATTGTAGTTTCCTCAGGAAGTCAGTGGTGTCTCGAAGATAGCTGGGAGTGCTGGTAGTGTAGGGCCTGAGGAGGGAGTCTACATAGCCAGACAATCCTGCTGTCAGGATGCCAATGCCTGAGATGATGGGGCGTCCAGGATTTCCAGATTTATGGATCTTGGGTAGCAGATAGAATACCCCAGGTCGGGGTTCCAGCGGTGTGTCTGTGCGGATTTGTTCTTGTGCTTTTTCAGGGAGTTTCTTGAGCAGATGGTGTAGTTTCTTTTGGTAACCCTCAGTGGGATCAGAGGGTAATGGCTTGTAGAAAGTGGTGTTGTAGAGCTTCCTAGCAGCCTCTTGTTCATGTTCCTACCTATTCATGATGACGACAGCACCTTCTTTGTCAGCCTTTTTGATTATGATGTCAGAGTTGTTTCTGAGGCTGTGGATGGCATTGTGTTCTGCACGGCTGAGGTTATGGGGCAAATGATGCTGCTTTTCCACAATTTCAGCACGTGCACGTCGCCGAAAGCACTCTATGTAGAAGGCCAGTCAGTTGTTTCAACCTTCAGGAGGAGTCCACCCAGAATCCTTCTTTTTGTAATCTTGGTAGGAAGGTCTCTGTGGGTTAGTATGTTGTTCAGAGGTGTGTTAGAAATATTCCTTGAGTCGGAGACGTCGAAAATAGGATTCTAGGTCACCACAGAACTGTATCATGTTCATGGGGGTGGAGGGGCAGAAGGAGAGGCCCCGATATAGGACAGATTCTTCTGCTGGGCTAAGAGTATAGTTGGATAGATTAACAATATTGCTGGGTGGGTTAAGGGAACCACTGTTGTGGCCCCTTGTGGCATGTAGTAGTTTAGATAGTTTAGTGTCCTTTTTCTTTTATAGAGAAGCAAAGTGTGTGTTGTAAATGGCTTGTCTAGTTTTTGTAAAGTCCAGCCACGAGGAAGTTTGTGTGGAAGGTTGTTTTCTTATGAGAGTATCCAGTTTTGAGAGCTCATTCTTAATCTTTCCCTGTTTGCTGTAGACGATGTTGATCAGGTGGTTCTGCAGTTTCTTTGAGAGCATGTGGCACAAGCTGTCAGCATAGTCTGTGTGATATATAGATTGTAATGGATTTTTTACCTTCAGTCCTTTTGGTATGATGTCCATCTGTTTGCATTTGGAAAGGAAGATGATGTCTGTCTGTATCTGTATGAGTGTTTCATGAAGTTGATAGATTTCCACTCCATATGGCTAAATTCAGTGCATTGCATAATGACAGGTTTCAGAGTAGCAGCTGTGTTAGTCTGTATTCACAAAAAGAAAAGGAGTACTTGTGGCACCATAGAGACTAACAAATTTATTTGAGCATAAGCTTTTGTGAGCTACAGCCCACTTCATCGGATGCATTCAGTGGAAAATACAGTGAGGAGATTTATATACATAGAGAACATGAAACAATGGGTGTTACCATACACACTGTAATGAGAGTGATCACTTAAGGTGAGCTATTACCAGCAGGAGAGCTCTGATGCCTCGATTGATTGATATTGCAATATGCTCTCATTGCCTATCTAGTTATTGTCTGGAAGGCATCTTAGATTCTGAATTTATTTTCCATTTGCACGCGGTTTGTCAGTCCTTCATTAGGGTCAAGGTGAGCACATTTCTGGGAGAAGAAAAAGAAGGGCTTATATATTTCACAACCTAAGAAAAAAGTTCTTGCTAATAATGGTTGCTTTCTTAGCTATTCTCAGTAAAAATGATTGCTGCTACAGATAATGAGTGGCTAACAAGAAGTAAGGAGAGGTGAAGTTGGTGAAGATTAAAATAAGAACCTATTTGACTTGCACATTATTTGAAGTTCAGTTGTCTCTTTTTCCTCAGTATTTTTCACTGTTTATGTAGCTGTGTAATTCTCATTTTCCGATGGCACTAAAAGCATAGGTATTGCCATTTAGCATGAGAAGCCTATTCCAGGACTGTATGATTTAAGAAGATCTACATTCAAACTTTTTGTTGTGTATCCATTCTGCAACTCTGAACCTTTTGCTTTCTACATCTCAGTATGTGTACATGCTGCTTCAAATGACTCCCTGAATTAGAATACTAAGCCCTGCTCTACATTACAAATTTATGTCGATATTACTACTTACTTACTATTTTCCATACCCCTGAGCAACACTGTTATACTGACCTAGGCCGTGGCATATACCATGCTATGTCAAGCCCTAAGCCTTAAAATTCACTTTGTCTGAAAAAAACCATCAGTGCTGAATTGGCCGTAGCAAAAATCCCATCACTCTTCCAGTAAATTTAATAACCAAAAGCCTGTGCTCTAAAGGGCCAATCCAAATGCCCCTGAAATCAATATTAGTCTTTCCTTTGACTTTGGGGGCCCTAAGGTGGAATTGTCCTCTGGGGCACACCGAACATTTTGGTTCTGGTTTGTGCCATATCTAAGGGCATGGCTACACTTGCAGATATAGTGCACTTTGAGTTAAACCAGCCTTCGGAGAGCGCAGTAGGGAAAGCGCTGCAGTCTGTCCACATTGACAGCTTCAAGCACACTGGCGTGGCCACATTTGTGGCACTTGCAGCAGCATTGGGAGCGATGCATTATGGGCAGCTATCCCAGCATGCAAGTGACTGCAACGTGCTTTTCAAACGGGGGTGGGGTGGGGTGGAGTGTGACAAGGGAGTGTGTTGTGTGTTTGTGGGGGAAGAGAGAGATGGTTTTTGGGGGGCTCAGAGCATGTCAGCATGCTGTCTTATAAGTTCAGACAGCAGCAGACCCCTCACCCCCCCACGTCTCTCTCTCACACACAGCATTCCACACTAATGGCTTGCTTCGTCTCGGAGCAGATAAGCTGCCGGCTGTCAGAAATGGAGCTTTCAAAGGGCATATCCGCATTTCTGCAGCGATTCAAAATCAATGACAAGAGTGGCCACTTGACTTAAGGGGATTATGGGACGTTTCCGGAGGCTGATCAGAGTGCAGTAATGCAACATCTCGTTCACACTGCCACCATGGCACTCCAGCGGGGATGCAGCAAACATTATTCCACTTGCTGAGGTGGAGTACCAGCCGCGCTGTAGCCAGGGAGTCAGAGTGCTCTACGTGCCTTGCCAGTGTGAATGGGTAGTGAGCTAGTGCGCCCGGGGCTCCTTTATTGCGCAAGTGTAGTTGTGCCCTATGTAAACTATGAAAGTACTCAGGGATGGGATCATGTCTTTCTTTGGGTCTTTTACAGAGCTGAGCCCACTGCTGCCACTCAACAAATAATGAATAATGATGATAAGAAGATGGAGTATAAGCCATCAAAGTCCTGCATCCAAACACTCCTCATCTTTGGAGTGTTTAAAATACAGATATGGATCAAGGCCCAAATTCTGAAGCATGGGCCAAATTGCAATGTTATGGCCCATTCAGTGCAATATGAACTTTGTAACAGTTCTCCTATCCATGCTCTGTACCTTGATTGATTCAAATTAATTTCAGTGGTTTGGTCATTTCATTAGGCACTGCAGTTTAGCATGCATGATAGGACTTGATCTAAGTATGAATAATGAATGAAGTTGAAAACTACAGATACAATATATGGCTGCAATACTCCAACATGACGAAAAATCATTAGAATTTAGTTTATTTTATATTTTCTCTTTCTCTGAATGTGCTATTTGTTCGAACTTCTTTCTGGCTTGCTGGAACAGGTTTCTTACATTTTGATCCTTTTAATACTGCCGCACAGTAAATACTGTGAGGGTAGGTAGTTAATTGATTTCTTTATTTTTACCTGTGCTAGCCCAAGAAATTCTAAGTAGACTCAGAACAACTCAGCCCGCTATCAGTGACCTTTATGAAATGGCGTTAGGAAATTCTGACTTCTGACTCCTCAGAGAACTGTCGAGATATCCAGCTTTGGATGTAGGGAATTGCGGCTGTCCCCATGCTGTAAAAATGAAAAGACAAAAATAAGGTAATATTCAAATATAAAGTAAATCACATCCTGAGAGCCATGCCGAAAAAGAAAATAAATCAAATATTACATAAAAAAGCTATTCTGAGAGTGTTAATATTACCCATTTAAGCACGCAAGTCAGCAATTGTCAAAGTTAATGTTTCACACTCAGCATTAATTCTGTCTCTTGTGAATAGCAGCACAGGTTTTAATCAGTTATGACAAACTGCTTCACACGTGATACAATTGGATATCACAGAGCTTTTCCTGCAATGCTAGGGCTCAGTCCCAGAGGCTTGAAGGCATAGTGCTTACCAACAATAGAGCCTTAGGATACCACGACTCTGCAAAGGAAAACCTGCAGCATTAAGACAGGTTTCAGAGTAGCAGCCGTGTTAGTCTGTATCCACAAAAAGAAAAGGAGGACTTGTGGCACCTTAGAGACTAACCAATTTATTTAAGCATAAGCTTTTGTGAGCTACAGCTCACTTCATCGGATGCATCTAAGCAGTAAGTTTCACAATCTGGGTCAATTGACTTGGGCTTGCAGAGCTTGGGCTGCAGGGCTAAAAATAGCAGTGTAAACATTCCTGCTAGGGCTGCAGACTGGGTTCTGAGACCTCCTTGCTGGGTTTCAGAGTCTAGGCTCCAGCCCAAGCCTGAATGTCTACACTGCCATTGTTAGCCCTGCAACTCAAGTCCCATGAGCCCACGTCAAGTGACCTGGGCTCTGACGCTCGGTGCGGTGATGCAGGTTTTTGGTTTTTTGGTTTTTTGCAGTATAGACCTATCCTTAGAAATCAATGGGACTACACATTTTAAGAAGTACTACACCAAGTCATAAATGTTTGCAGGATCCAGACCCTTAAATAACTTAGTTGGAGTTACTCGACTGCACAACAGTCAGGAGTAGGAATGTTTTAGCCAGTGACAGCCAGAAAATCCCTTATCATTATGGGAGAGGGGGAAGAAGCTCACTGGATAACACTGTGGCACCTGGCTTCCAACACCCATGTGGGCTTTCTGCTTCTTCTCTCTCTGGTCCCTGGTCAGAGTGAAGGAGTGGGGAGAGCAAGGGGGAGGATGTCTTGATCTCTCCCAGTTACCCTCAGATTGGCACTGTGCCATAAAACAGAGTCTCAGGGTTTCTCCAACACCCACCCACACCAACTCTCCCAGGAACCTCCAGCCCCTCAGCAATTCCTCTTTGAGACTTGCCCATACCAACTCCCTCCAATATTCTGGAACCCAATGGCTTTGCCAGGACCTTTGGCTGTGCTAGCAAGCCCATAAACCAGGGCCTTCAGCTCCCTTCCCAAGCCTCATTTGATTCTGGCTGGTTTGGGAAATAGTTTCCTACCTGCCCAGCAGGTTCCTGGGGGCAGGGAAAAATCAATTAGTTTGTTCTCAGAATTGAGAAAAGTCACATATGGAGCTGCACAAAATTTGTCAGGTGGGAGCACATCATCTAATTTCCAGGCTCCTCTTCTCAGACGGCTACTCAGCAGCATCCAGAAGAGAGAGAGAGCCAGTGTGTTGCTGTGCTGAATGGGAGCCCTGAACAGCTGCTCTCCATGCCAATGCCTGCTTACTTAGCCACAGTTGGGAGTTGAAGAGTCTGGAGTCCCCCGCCTCCAACAAATGCCATGGTTGCTCTCATCAGCCAATGAAGGAGTTGTATTGATGGATTTATATAAGGAGGCGAGAGAATGGAATAGTTGTTTGTTTTGTTCCCAGGGTCAGGCTGCAATGTATAAGGAACAGTATTTTAACCAGGGAGTGTCACATTTATCGCCAACTGAGGTGAAATTTTTGTGTATGGATTCTGATGGCACATCACTGTTGTGAAAGAATGAAGGGAAGAGGTGATGCTGCTGGGATCTCAGTGTGATATTTTGGCTAGACTGTGTATAACAACCCTGATTCTTAGATTTTTAGATCACCCACTTTACTGCAAACAGTGGGGAATCCTTCCTCTCACACTCCTGCATCCTGTGTCACCTTCCCAAATCCAGCTCACTCCACCCTTGCAGCTCCCCCACAACTGGGCTTCTTCCCCACCACCCTATAAGGACTGAGAGAGCTATCCGCTGTAGTGTTTAAGTGTAGAAAAGGTGAAGGGAAGTGGAAAGTGATAATCAGCTGCAAACGTGAATGAAGCCACACCAGAACGGAAAAACAGAATGGGCAAAAAGAACAGAAAAGAGCTCAATTGTGATTCATGGTGGGTCACCTCTGGGTCACTTTCATGAACTGAGATCTATAACATCAAATGACATTTGCTATTGTGGGCTGCTGTTTGGTGCAAGAAGAAAATGAAAGGCAATTAGCCTCCACCTTCCTTCCTTTTCTTTTTTGGATCTGTAATAAACCCCTATCTACATACACATGTAGACACCAGAGCAGGAATTGAACTGAGGGCTTTCTGCACCAAAAATACAGGTTTACCATTTGAGCTAAAGGACACCTCATTTAGCTGTAAGAAAGGAGAAGGCTGTAGGACCAGCCACAAGAGGGAGATGCAATCACATACACTAAACCAAAGGATTACAACTCCACATAATTTACAATTTAGATTGTCTGCATTGAAGAATTGGATATTAATGCAATTTGAAATGCAACTACTTGTGTCTTTCTAATTGTCTTTTCCCTGTTTTTGAAGAAACAGCACTGCCCTGATTTTTTTGTATATGTTTTTCTTCAAAAGTAGCTGGTTTTCCTGATAACATTAAAAGGGAGAGCTGGATAGTGGGTCAGTGTATTTAATCTTATCATTTATATTATAATGGCTTAGGTTTGAATAGTGCTTCAAAGATGAATACAGGGCAAACTCCTTCCCTGTGTAGCTTACAATTTAAAGCAGAATTGGCAAAGGGAGGCTGTATCAGTGTCTGAAATGATTGCCTAATGTCCAGTACGGGAACAGGATTTTGAACCAGGACAAGCATGTGCATTTTAATTTTTTTAAGATCCTCTGACCCCAAGAGAGGCCTGCAGAAATAGGGACAAGTGGACTCATTTTAATAAAGGCCCAGTACTACGTTAGTGTGACAATTATCAAAACTGCCACTAACTCTGGTTGTGCAGGATTGGACCCTAAATAGGCAACTGTGACTATAAAGCATACAGAACATATGACTCATATCTGAGTTCTAATCTAGTACAACAGTAAGCACCAAATCTCTTACAGGAGATGATGTGCTTGATACCCATTCTTCTAGCAAAGGGAAGATCTCTTTACTGTAGAATATCACCAGCACAGCTGTGGACTTTATAATAAAGTGTGAACCCAGGAGACCAGGCAAGCAGAAATATTTTTAGACCTCAGCTGAAGTGACCAAAAATTGTTACCATGTGAAGGCTGTTCAATGGTGTATGGGAAATGTGTCCCAGTTCTATTCCCAGTGGAGAAGTATCCTGGAGAAGTATGCATTTCACAGAAACCACCTCCCCATGTTAGTGCCTTTCCCAGCAGAAAGGGTCAAGATTAAATTGGCATGGAGAATGAGCCCTCCATGGGGGAGCTGCTGCTTCCATGCTAATGATATAAGTATATTGCATTTACCTGGTTTCTCAAACTAAGCTGTGAAATTCACTCATGAGATTTTATTAAAAGAAATTGCCTTTCTCACCTATCTATCTCCTTCTTCGCAACCCCAAACAATGATTGCTATTCCGGAGAATGCAAGGCATGGCTGGGGGCAGAGGGATTATTCCATACTCAGGGCTTGTTTCCCCCCACCCCCCAAAGTTCATCTGTATTGCGCAATCTAATTAGATGTAAAGTGCAGTGCACACTGGGTATGAGCTGATGTGAACCTGAAAGGAAATATTTGGATTACAAGTTGAGTATTTTGGCCTTGTGACAACAGGACCGTGCTGAAAAAGCTCAGGACCTGAGCCCACTCCTGAATGCCTTCGCTGAATTTTGAAATGTATGTGAATCAAAACTTGGAATTTAAACCAGAGACAAAACCCAAGCTGACCTTGCTTGGCTGGTTATTTATTTCTTTATTTTTTAATTTAAAGGCAGGCTTTGTGGGCTGGGTGCATGTTCCAGCCTTTGGCAAGAAAGATAAAATGCTGTGCTGATAGTTGGCAGTGGCAGGATGATGGTGGTCAGGAAAGATTGATTGGTGACAAGAATTTGGCAAAAAGTGAGAGACAAGCATATGATCCAATACCAGAATATTGTCAGAACAAAAAAGGCAAACCAAAATTATACTAAACTGAAAAGTTTCTGGTTAGCAGTGGTCCTTCAGTCAGTCGAGCAGCAGTAATGATCTTCAGTTTAGTCATATTTTAAGACAATTTCCTGGTTTCATCAACAAGCATATTTTGATCACATTTATCATACTTTGTAAGCAGTCGTAGAGATGTGCTGTTTACACACATCAAAGCTTTAATGTACTTTGTTCTTGTCTAACTAACCACATTGACTGGCTGTTGCGCACTGACACTTAGCAAGTAGTAATACCCATGACACTGTAAGTGAAGCCTAGAAGAGTAAATGTTTGTATTGCCTGATTGGAAACTTCGATATGACCTATCTTTTGGATTCACTATCCTGTTTGGAGTTTGATTTATTTGAGATGATGAATTTAATTTTATTACTGAGGCAAAAAAGTTCTTGGAATGTCAAGAGTGTATGTTGAAGCCTAGACTATCCCTTAGGCTGTATATACTCACAATTTGAGAATTCTGCTCTCCTGGCTATCTGTTTTGAAATTTAGCAGCAAAGTTGAATAAGTATGGGAGCTGTCAGATGTGTAGCCATAAGCATGTTGTTGGTGCTCTGTATACATGGGCAAGTACAGAGTGCATACAAAAGTCAAGTGACTTGGCCTGCTAAGTAAGACTTTGGTTGATCTGTGGTATAACTTGATCCTGTTTTCTGTATGTGCACTTAGGGAAGGGGAAAAAAATCACTTAGGCATCAGAAACATCCTAAAAATATTGAACTTGGAAGAATACACTACACCATACAAAGT